AGCTAAGATGTAGCCATTTTCTTATGGATGATACGCCACTTCTCTTCTTAAATCATCTGGTTAATGGTTGCCTGAACCTGAGTACAAGGATAAATGTGTGGGACTCCTGCCTTTCAAACTTCACCACACTTATCTCAGTGCATGGTTCTGAGCATGCTTGCACAAGACAACATGGCTCTAAGGTCAAAGTACTTGAGTCAGGAGGCAGAACCTAGAAGGTGATATTGAAGTTGCTTCAGGAGATTTTGTGAGTGGACTGTGGGCAGGTGGGGATGGGAACATGAGTAATCAGGTTGTGGGGGGGCAGAGGGGGAGAGTATTGAAAGAGACTACTGGAAGGGTAGTCTCTTGTGGGGGCAGGTAGAAATCTGGTACAAGGGAAACTCCCAAGAATCTATAAGGATGACACCAGCTAAGACTCATAGCAATAGTGATGGATACATAGCCTGAACTGGCCATCTCCTTTGATCAGGCAAGACTTCCAGTGAAGGGATTGGGAAACCAACCCAGCTACATAACCTTCGACCTACGGTCTGCTTTGCCTATGGAATGTGCTGGGGTAAGAGTGACCGAGAGATTGAGGGAGTGGCCAACCAATGACCAGTCTAGCCTAAAACCTATGCAAGGAGAGTAAGTCCATGCCTGACAATGCCTGGAGCATCAGGATCCACAGACTGGATGACCCAGAGACCTAGGATAGAACCAAACATGACTGGAGGAAAAAAATGTCAGTGTAATGATGCCTAATGTTATTCTGCTATACATATAGACTGGTGCCTAATCCTAGTATAATTGTCATCAGAGATGCTTCCTCTAGCAACTGATGGAAACAGACGCAAACCCACAGCCAAACATTAGGTAGAACTCAGGGAATCCTTTTGAAAAGGGGAAAAAGGATTGTAGGAGCCAGAGGCCATGAGAAAACTCACAGAATCAACTAGCCTGGGTTCACAGGGGCTCACAGAGACTGAACCAACAACCAGGGAGCCTGCATATATGTTACAGTTGTGTAACTTGGTCCTCTTGTGGGACTCCTAACTATGGGAACAGGGGCTGTCTCCTAGTCCTTTGCTGGCTTTGGGACCCTGCTCCTCATACTGGGTCGCCTTGCCCAGTCTTAATATATGGGGAAGTGCTTACTCTTACTGCAATTGATATGCCCTTTCCTAAACAGAAAAGGAGGAGGAGCAGATTGGGAGGTGGGAGCAGAAGGGGTCAGGGGAAGGGCCGCCTGGGAGCAGAGGAGGGAGGGGAAACTGTGACTGGGCTGTAAAAAATTAAATAAATTTAAAAAAACAGAAAAAAATGTTGCTTCAGTGTAATACTCACCGGAATTCCACTGAGGCCAACAAAGCCAGGAACTCCCATGGGACCCTAAAGAAAGGAGAAGGAAGAGAAATGTGTGAGCCAATCCAATCGATGCCTGTTAGGTTCAATATGTTTGCTGATGGGATTCAATGACTTAAATTGTTGAGGTTTTACATCTCTTTCCTCATGCTGTGTTGCTATAGATCCCAAGTCTAAGGGGTTGATCTAAGATCTTGAGCATGCTTATTTATATTCAGAGACCAGTTCTTGTGTTAAACAGTATCTTGGAAGCCCTAAAAATTAATGCTCAATATTACAGGTAACCTTTACATCTAGATAAAAACAGACGGGCTTTGACTAATCTAACAAAGAATTTCTCCCCATTCTACTCCTTCATTAAGATAAGGATCCTAAGCTAGACAACTCTTCTTATCCGAGGACAGGTGCAATTCTTGCTTATGCATGAATGACAGTTTCAGTGCAGGTGAGGCCACTGGCTTATTCAAACAGGTCAAATCATGCCTGCTTTAAGGAACCGGGGCACCACAACTTCTTGATGATAAAGCCTGTCACCTGTAGCCTCTTGGTTTACTCCGTTCCCGAGTATAACTCTGTGCGGCCTTACATGCAATGTTTTCCTTTCCTGAGATGTGAATATATGTGATCCGTGAGTTGCCATCCACACCATCCATGAGTAGGAAATTGCCATCAACCTCATGCATCTGGATAAGTATTATAACTTCATCTACCCTTATAATTATTTCTTCTCTACAATATGGGATTAATAGGCGGTGATGAAAATACAGAGGGTCTAAATTAAAGTTGCTAAACTCTGTAAGCCAGTCACCATGTTATTAGCATTCTTCTTGATTCTGTAGTGCATTCTCTTCTATTTGTGGCCCAGAATGGTTCTAAGTCTTCTGAGTTCTTGCTTGTTCTGTTTTTCTGCCTTCCTTTCTTTTATTTTCTTCATAGTTTTATTTCAGTATAGTTGTTGCACATGGTACTATGTTTCTCAAAGACATTATCACAAAAGTACATACAGTACTTTGGCTCAGCTCGTCTTAAAGTATGTGCCCTGGCACCAAAATATTTAGGGACAACCATATTCCCCTGAGAACTGAGACTGAACATTTTACTTTTATACTTATAACCCTTATATCAAAGGTGCATCTTACCTTATCTCCTTTTGATCCGTATGGTCCCAGAGGGCCTGGGAAGCCTCTGTCTCCTTTCAACCCTGATAAACCAGTAGGACCAGCAAATCCTTCAGGACCTGCTGGACCTTGAGTTCCAATTGGTCCAGGGCGCCCCTAAAGATGGACAGAATGGCTGAAAATTAGTCATCAGAGGATTTAATGCCAACATTTCCAGTTTTCTCATGCACAAAGTACAGGCACCACTTCACTAAATAATTTTGGCTCAGAGATCAGTGCAGCATGCCAGCGTTCCAGACATGGATCAAAAAAGGCTATTTTAGGGGCTGCTAAGCTTATTTGGATAGAACACATTTTATAAGCACATTTAATAAGATTCATGTGCACCAAGATCCTTCAACTTTGTACTTCTGAGGAGATTAGTTATTCAGGCTGGATAATATTGTCCTCTTCCCAGTTAATGCCAGGCCATCCATCAGAATGTCAAAATAGTGAAAGAACAGAACACTGGAGAGCATCATGGCATTTTATAAGTTACATCCAAATGGCCAACCACATGCTTGTAGCGAAGTTCAGAAATGGCCATGTCTAAAGAATGCTGCCCCAGGGGGCCAAAGAAGGGTGACTCCAGAAACTGCCAGTTCTTCAAAATTCATCTTTGTTAGCTGATCCTAAGATCCCATCATTGTACCTAGCAACAGATATTCACAGGGACCAGACACACACACACACACACACACACACACACACACACACACACACACACACACACATTCTCATTCTTCTTTCTTATCCCCCTTTCAGCCCCTCCCTCTATTTGCACAGCACCCAATGTGGAAAGCACAAGGAGCCTGAGAATATCTATTAAGTATCAATTATGGTAGCAGGAGTGAGCAGCCTGAAGATTTTGAATGCCTTGGTTATAAAATGTCTGTAACAATTAAGGCTGAGAGTTCAGGCTGACATTTTAAAGCAGACTGAGACAGAGAATTAACCCCAGTGGGTGCAAAAACAGACAGGCTGGACTATCATTTAGAACAAATCCCAGTAGGGACTTCTTTTATTTTGGCTGCAAAGTGAAAACCATTAGCAATGTGCATTGCCTATCTGAGAACTTCATATCTGATAGAAAGTCTATTTTCATAAATGCTTCCAGTCCTACTTCCCCACCCCTTTAGTGACTGTCCATAATTTCCTAAAAAAATGTGAAAACTCTGAGGAAGCCCATTAAACATGCTCTTTCCTGTCTCCTTCAGACTTTGCATTTTTAAAGGCTGAAAACAGAATAGATGCTGTAAACACAGTGTCTAGAGTTATGTTCTGATAATGCCAGTGCCCACCAGCTGTTCTGGTTCTTTGGAACATAATTTGCAGTGTCAGTCAGGCCCATTGAAGCCCTATTGCTCTTGCAAAGAAGTGAAAGATATTCTACCCAATGAAACACAACTCTCTGGAACACTGTGTACCACTCAAACTTCCCCGTGCTTATGGTGCAGGCCATGAACTGTTTGGCAAACGTCTGGGAGTGACTGGGGTAGATACTGAGTGTTTACTTTTTAAGCTCTCATGTGCTGTTGGTGGAATTTTGTTTAGAACAATTCTTGTGTTTGTCATTGAACTTGGCTCAAACACACACACATACACACACACACACACACACACACACACACACACACACACACACACACACGCATGAGTACTACTAAAGAGGAAAGCACCCCACAATACTTTAAAGTCATTATGCTAGCATTTGTTAAGGATGAGTGAAGGAGTGGGTAAAGGACCTAGGTTTCAAGATGAACATACACACCACCCTAACAGCACCAGTATGCAATAGAGAGTAAGAGCTTCAGGTGCATAGTGGAAAGGTTGCCTGAGAAGGTCTGTGGAACACAACACATGGCCCATGGCTGGGGGGAGTCACGGCTACTTGGGAAGGCCAAGAAAACTCCAGCTGGAATGGGCCTGGAAAGTTAGGCAGGAAAGGTGAAGGCATGGTGTGATCAGCTCTGAAGATGCAGCTGGGCAGAAAACAGTGTTCAGTGTTGTAACTCATTAAGGAGGGCCATGAGCATCACCAGGAGACTGAGGCAGCCTGCCTGAGGTTGGAGCAAGGGAGGGGGATAAGCAGCAGCTGTTGGAGGAGAGGGCTGCTTGGTGGGATCTGGACAGGGTGAACTTAATGGATTGTATTATTACTAACAGAGAAGATCCAGTCAGACCACAGAATGTTTGGTCCAAAATCTCAGCCCTGCCAAAGAGGTTCTTCCATCAAGGGTAGGGGGACATTGGTAATCCTCAGACAACTACTAAGAGAGAGGGTTGTCTTGTGGCCTGATTCCCATCCTGCTTTTGCTGCTGTGGGAGCTTAGGCAGTGCCCAGTGTGACACATGTACTGGCACTATCCACCTCTGCTCTCTTAGATTTCTGAACACATGCTCATCAGCACGGATAAACTAGGAAACTTAGGCTTGAGAAATGCTATGCTGGACAAAACAGAATTCTGATTTGGTCCAGTAGAGGATGGTTTGGAAGCCTGAATATTGCATATAAGTCCCCTGAAGAATTCGTGAGATTAAAAACAAACAAACAAGCAAATCCCAAAGGGGTTTTTTGGAGATGCATGTCTTGGACAAACAAGGATTCTGGGGCTGGTCTCAGATTTTTTAGGTTGGTTGGCTATGTCAGCAGCCCAGCAGGAAACCTCTCAGGCTGACTTCAACACAGGATCCTGCTCATAGGTGTCTGGAGGCTTCCAAAGAGCTGCTTATCTTGAATTGCCTCCCCAGTGTGGTGCCAAGGCCTTGTGATGCTTTGAGAGGAATCTTCCCACCCACTGAAATCCGGTGGCACAGAGCAACAAGAGCAGGTGAAGGCAGCCATGAGAAAAGGAGAGACACTTTTTGGGGTTTCTAGATCTGTGCTTAGCATTGCTTGGCATTCCCCCACCCTCACTTCCAGTGCATAGAGTTTCATTGCTTGGCTTTCCCCCACCCTCACTTCCAGTGCATAGAGTTTCAGTGTGCTGCGTAAAGCTTCATACTGAAGCACAGATAGACTGCGGTATGGTTGGTTTGTTTTTCCTCAAGACACTTGCCTACGACACTTTTTCTAATGGCCAGCAGAGGTCAGTGTGAGAACATAGAGATTGAAGATAAACAGGTGGGTGGGTGGGCCTTTCTCACACAGAGAAAGAGAAATCAAACCAGTGTCAGAGAAGTCACAGAATGTTCAAGCAAGAAAGGCCCTTGGAGACCATTTAGCCCAGGGTTTATTTTATACGGGGATAGAGTAGGCTGAGAGAAAAAGGATTTTTTTAAGGTCACATAGCTAGTAGGAACAGCATGAGACTTAAACCAGACTATCTCCGTTCAGTGCTAGGCTCTCTGCCTGTTTGTTAGGGGCAGATTTCCTAGGGGGTCCTTGAGGCTGTCTCCCCCTCACCCTAGATCCTCCTCTGGGACTGATCCCATCAGTCGGCTGCAGCAGCCAGATGCTCACCCATCATTTCTCTCTTCCTAACCCTGATCACAGACCCAATCTGAAGCACCATCACTGTTTGGATGGCTAGCAGAATTTCAATGGGCTTGGACTAATGCCATGCCCTGATACATGTCATTTATTTTGGCAGATGGACCCATCCAGGGCAGAAGGGACTCCTTCACGTTGTTCCAACAAGCTCTCCTGTCTCCATCTGCTCAGTCTTTTTTAATGTGCACAGCAGGACCTAATTCTCAAGGGTTGGGAATTGTGCCTAAGGCCGTGACTACAGGTCTGCAGCTCAAGCTGGCCATCTCCTCCTGATTATGGTGGTTTGGAGTCAGTGTGCAGTTTAAGGTTACCTTTGATTAGAATCAGACAAGAGACTAATACATCCATTAATGGACATACCCATAACGAGGAGGAAATATGCACAAGTGGCATCTAAGACTATTAGAAGCACATACCTGAAGCTAGGTGGAATGGCAAAACTGATGGAAGATTCTGACCACATAATTTGGTGTATTTCTTCCTTTTTATACCCCCCATCAAAATTCCAGTGGTCTTCTCTCATGCAATTAAAATTTGGTCCTAAGAATCTGAAACCCATTCCCACTGAGGCATGAATGACTGACAACTTTGAGGTTTACTTTTCCCAAGGGGAGGCTTGTCCTTTAATGGAGAGAAAACATTAAGCCAGGGATGCGAGTGATATTTACAAAGCAGGGAAAGGAAGAGGGAGGCCTTCCTGAGGATCCAGTTGTATTCTAGGAGATACTAAGGTGGGGCAGCCCTTTTCCATGACCCTGGATTCAGAGTCCTCCTAGCCATTTTAGCTGTATTCCTAGGCAAGTTACTTAGTGTCAAGGGTTTGAATACTATACTCACTGTTGTGTAGAATTATTGATAGCATTTAAGTGAGTCAATGTTTGTAAAACACACAAGGTATCTAGAACAAAAATGTCAATTCCCTTTTCTCATTAGTATCGTTTATGATAGAATGAAGAAGTTAGGATTAAGTAATCCATGCCTTTTACCTGATGTTTAAGTGAAAGATGTACAAATGTAATTGAGAAACCTTTCTTTTTTTTTTTGGACAGAGGGGTGGGGTATCAGGGAATGATGGAGCATGTAAACTGACAACCAACATCTGTGAGACCAATTCTCCATTCCTTAGAGATTGTGTCTTAGTCCTTCCAGACACTGCAGTCCTCAGTGTCTTTCCATATTTTATCCTAAAGTAACACAAGCTACTTTTTAATACTGCGCCCCCAAGTGTGAACCTCTAGTGGGATTTCTCCTCTGAATATGACATAAGCCTACAACTAATGTTTTAGATGGTCTCTGCACTGGAACATTCTAATTCAACCCCAACAAGAGCTTATTGGCTTATTGTGTTCTCTGCAATCCCATTCCGGAAACTGGCTCCTTTCTCCAGAATGATCAGACATCACTCAGTAAATCACAAATTTAATACATCTAGAAATGCAGGATTGCCCCACATTGCTTCCTTTCTCACATCCAAGCCACCATCAGCAAGGATTGCCAATCCAACTTCAAATATAAGCCAATCATGTGTGTGTGTCTCTACTGCCATAGTCTTACTTCAGGACCTTCTCATCTCTCCCCTGTATCTAGTGGCCCCACATTAGCTCACCATCCTCAGCCTTGCTTTGCTCTTGCTGAGCATCCTCACACATTGCAGTTGCATGTGCTTTTAGATACGTGTCTGTTGTCCCGGCTAGTTCTATGTATCCTTCAGGTTCTAGCAAAGATACCAGTTTCTTCAGGAAGCTTTCCATGATTACTCCCATCCCACAATGTAGCTAGGTTATGTATTATGTATTTCAGATAATATGTCAATACCCCTGTTGAAGATAGAATGAGCTCCTTAAGACCATGTCTTACTTCCCACAGACTTATCTAATGCTCATCTCAGTACTTGGCAATAATTTTTGCTGAATGGATGCAGAAGGAAATGAATAAATACACACACTGAGAAGCAAGTAGCTCAGAAAGGGTAGTATCTTCTTGGGAAGTCTAGACGGTTGCAAGAGAGTTAATCAAGACCTGACTGCTCATAGGACCACAGAAAAGAGCTGCAT